GATTTATTCGAATAAATCACCATTTATTCGAATAGGAACTGGTTTTTCAAGCCACGCGATTGATCCAAACTATTCGAATAGTTCTTGAATTATTCGAATAAGGCGACAGTTTCAACTACCAAACGGCTAGTTTTTTGAATGCTTTTCATCCCTATCCACTCCCTAACTTCTATATACTACCTACTTTCGTGATAATCTTCATGAGAACACTTTGAAGAACATATCCTTTGAATATCCAAAGAGATTCTACTCAATCCCCTCCTTATATCCAAGCAAGGCAATTGTTTTGATTGCTAAATCATTTCTTGCTTGAGTCTTTCCTCATTGCTTGAGTCTTTGAGAGATATTGTCATATTCTAAAGGACTTCATTGTATTTGCAACAATCTACTCCGTGTTGGGAGAATTACTCGGTTGCGGTTTGTTTTCTTACTTTATTGTAAGGGATTTGTATTCTTGGTGTTGGGATTACACCAAATGGTAGAAATCCTAACGGTTTGTGAAATCAAACGTTAGGTGGAAGAAATCCTGAGTTTTGTGAAATCAAAACTTCGGTGGTAAGATAAGAGGCTTGTGAAATCAAGTTCTCGAGTTGTATTCTGATTGTCAAACTCCGTTAAGTTTGACGGGTTAGTGAAGGCCTGGGCACGATTGCTTCGGGGACTGGATGTAGGCATTTAGGCCGAACCAGTATATATCGTGTGTGCGTTGCTCTTATCCTTCACTTTATTTTGTTTGTGGTGCATTGTTTTTGTTGAATATTCGTGAAGAACGTTTCCGCGCAAAAAAAAACGGTCTTTTGGGCAACACCTCTATTCACCCCCCCTCTAGAGGTGTGCGAGGCGTCTAACAATCTTGTCCAAAGTAGGCAAGGTGGCCTACAAATTACAGCTGCCCTCCAGTATTTCATGTCTCCCAGCTCAAACAATTCAGGGGAGATATACCAGCTGTACCACATATTCCCTACTGGTTCCACAATACTAATAACCATAGTTGCCCCACACCAGAGGCCATTCTGTCCAGGAGAATTCAAAAAAAGGCAAATAGGGCTGGGGTGCAATTCTTGGTCAAATGGCTTGGAGTACCAGAAACTGAAGCTACTTGGGAGTGGTCCGAGTCCTTCCAGCAGAGATTTCCGTACTTCCAGCTTTGAGGACAAAGCTCTAGTCAAGGGGAGGAAATGATGCAGTCCTTAGCTATATTTTCTATTTCTATTTTTGTTTAAGTATGCTATTATCCTATGTGTAACGTTGTGGGGCAACTCTATAAATAGTGGTTCAACATCTGGAATAATAAGAAGAGATATTTTTCATCCTAATCCACTTATTCTCTTTCTCTCTCCTTTCTGTTATTAGCTACGAGATTTCCTTCTTCCCTACGAAATCTCCTCGCCGGTAACAATATATGAAAAAAACCAAAAAAGATGATATGCTCTCTAAGGCCACAGAAGAAAGAAATACATGAAGCCGGGTGAAGAAAGCAGTGATCTTCATAGATTGTAATTATCGAGATCCAAGTAATTGATTCAACTGTTTATTTCTACCGGCGAAATAGAAAGAGAAGTCACCTGCGCCGACCAGTACGATGACTTTAGAGGCGGTAGCTCCGGTCTGCATCGCCATGTCTGCGAGCTTACGCTTCTTCACGCCAAAAGGTTGAGTTTGAATGTAACACCGGAATGAATAACACTACATTTTTTTCTTTCTTTATTAAATTGAAAAGAGTACCATTCTAAAAGATATTCAGTATTAAACATAAATAGGGAGTACTCTTTTCTTTACAACTAGTACCACACCCGTGCGTTGCACGGGTCATATTTACGTTATTAGATTAAGATCATTTTTAAAAAATACAAATTAATATCTAATAGAATAAATAGATTTTATTATTTTCAGGTACAAAGTAATTAAAAATTATTGAATTACAATATTTAACATATACACTCCTTCAGGATAATCTCTGTCATAGTTTTTGCACTTAAACTTGGAACCAAGATAACATCATTCGTTGGTATTTTCAATGTCAACCACATCACCAATTATCTAATAATATCATTTCTACAATTAAATCTTAAATTTATGTGTATAGTTTTAAAAATATAAATAAGTCAAATCAAAATTTTAGCCACAAATTTTGTTCATATTTAATGGTTTTTTACCATTTTTTTGCCAAACTAATAATAAAATGGAGAGCTTTATACACCACATAAAAATAAAGGAATATTATTTAAAAACATAAAAAAAATTAGAGAGGCTAATTACGAAAGTGATTGAAAATGACCGTATTTATAGTATGAAAATTTTTATTCATTTTTTCTATTTAAGGGTGTCAATTTTGTTATAATTTATAATTTTTGGAACAAACCTAGCCATGTAATAAATAGAAACTTTTTAAATATTCACGCCTCTATTTTGGGGTACACTATAATTAATGGCACCATTCACATTTATTATTATTATTATTATTATTATTATTGTTGTTGTTGTTGTTATTGTTGTTATTATTATTATTATTACCATATAAGCATGTGCAAGTAACCGTTGTTAATTGACCAAATAGAATACAAATTACCATTTCTAAATTCAACACTTACCATATATTATCTCACACTTATATATATTTTTTATATTCTTCCAACCAAAATAAAGTATAATTATCTTTTACGTTTGTCATTATTATTACACTTATTATCATGTTTATTATTATTACCGTATAAGCATGTGTAAGTAATTGTTGTTAATTGACCAAATAGAAGACAAATTACCAACTTATTAAAAAAATACTTTGACTTCTTTTGGGAAATGTATCAATAAGCCTTGTCAGCCCTTTCATAATAATAAGTATATAATTTTGAGACACACTATAATTAATGACGTCTAATTTTATCAGAACAAACCTAGTCCTTTAACAAATGAAAACTTTTTAGTAATGGCGTCTATTTTGCGGTATACCATAATTAATGGCACCATACACATTTATTATTGTTATTATTGTATGGTACATCAAACACACTCATCTTTATGTGATTGTTTATATTCTTAACATTTTTATTTTACCGTTTTCATTACTATTTCGACGAAAAGGTAATAATTATTTCATCCAAAAATAATATATTTCCATAAAAGGTAATAATGTAACGTAAATATGCAAACGGTTTCCGAAAAGGAAACAAAATATAAAATAATTTATTTATATAAACTTCTGTTTAGTACACAAATTTTACAAAATT